TGCCGGGCGCGTGTTCACGACGTCAATCCACAGCTCTATCAGTTTAGTTCGTTTATTAGGTATATCCCTGTGAGCCATGGTTGTTATTGTTTGACTCGCATCACACTGGGATTTTTGCACACAGCGTTGTAATACGGTGGTGTTTTTTTTCTGGAAGATTTGCTGCTTTATCCAGGATGTTTCTATTGCGCGTCGTCGCTTTAAAAAGTTCTCTGATCGTATCTTGTTTGTTGCGGTTGCACCCGACTCAGGAGCCGCATGGCTCACAGGGCTCTACCTAATCAATGAAACTTGAAAACTTGAATCGGTTGCAACCGCAACAAACAAAAACATGAACAAGAAACATCAAGAAACATCTTCGTGAGCACGCGCCACAGGCATCCCTACCGCACGCCGCTGCCGTGTCGTCGTGGCTAATTGACCATACTTCACCGCGCTGTGCCAGCGGAGGTTTGCGAAAGGTTGGGAGGGAGAGGCATTGGCTAGAACCGGAGCAGACATCGCTCCTCGCCAGGCGCGACTCGAACTCAGATGGCCCGGGGTTTCACTCGGCACTCAGTGGAGTTAAAGCATTGCCACAGGTATGTACAGGCACTATATATATATTGTGATATAGTACAATGGCGGTATTACACACTCGCTAATTGAGCGCACTTATAACACACATACCAGACGGGATTAATTGGCTAGTGGATGTGACGCAAGCTACGTGTTTCTCAAGCGACGTGGGTCGGCATGCAAATGTCATACTGACCATAAATAGGAGCTCGCCAACTTCGCATGCTCGGGCAGTATTCGAGGCTAAGCAGGGCACGTGTTTTCCCATGCCAGTGCCCACACAGCAGCATGTGTGTGTCGGTATGCATCGATGGGGAGCGGTGGTGCAGAGGTTACCGCCCTGCGCTACGAACCCGGCGACCCGAGTTCGATTCGCGCTCACGGCCAGCACCGGTGACGATTGCCTGAACCGGTAATGGGCCTCCCCTAGGTCGACTGAGCCTCGAATGAGTACCTGGTGCGGTGTGTCATCCTCCTTACTCGGGAGACAAAGGCGGCCGGACGTGGTGCAGGCCACTCACCTCCTCGTGTGAAGTTCCGGCCTTCATAGGTGCCACTAGCTGAGAGCACTTGACTCAACAGCCTGTTGAGGCTATACGGGGGGGATCTTTGTCTCTTTTTTTTTGCTGTGCGTTGTCTTGATGTGGTGACGAGTTTCGCTGTATACCTGATGTATTTAACGTTCCGTTTATGCACGAAATAAAATCTGCGAAGTGCGCAAAGAAGCGTGGGGATGATCACGCGTGCAAGTAATTGCGCTGAGACACAGATAGAGAGACACGCGGGTTTCAGAGAACGCACGCAGACTAAACACAACTGGCACTGGTAAATGACGAGGCCATGACCGATGGTCGAGACTCTAAGAATGATAACGGAGCGGCAGCCAAGGAATGGAAGGCGACCGAGGGAGCGTGCACAGAGCAGACGGAGCCGTGAGGTCAGCGTGTGTGTGCGGGTTGCTGGCTGGATCGGTAACATCGCGGACCAGTGAGAGATGGGGCGCCGCGGTTGTGAGATGTTAACGCCCTCGCCTGGTGTACAGGAAGTCGTGGGTTCTATTCTCTACCCTGACAATGGCTCTATATTTGGAGTTTGCATGTCTCTCTCTCTCTCGCCTCCCGTCATCGCGTGGAGTGTTTTTCCTCCGGGTCTTTTGGTTTTTCCCTCCACATTTAGAAACGTGTGCTTAGAATATTTGGCTGCTATACATTTCCACATGATGAGCCATTTCGTTGAGCTCTCACTCGTGGCCAGGTCGCTCCTAAAACAAAAGCAACGTAGGCTAAGTTGGGCCTTACCTGGTAAAAAAAAAGTTAAATTGAGAGATTGGCGAAGATTTAGGGAGGCCTTCACCCAACCGTGGATAGATCGTGGCTGCTGCCGCTACTGATGGTGATGATCGATGCCCTATATGGAGTCCAGGCGAGAGTCCAATGAGCTTCACCCAGCCTCGTGTTGTGGATCGCAGGGGTAGACCCGTGGGTTGGTGACCCCGTGGTTGTAAATATTGTCACAGTTTCGTTGTAACACAAATTACATGTGGTGAGTTTTCAAGTTGAGAACGACTTGCCCATAAACACACAACTCCGACGACTTAAGGTTTTCTTTTTTTAAATATAAACTCATTTAGCAGTCCCCTCGCGTATACCATAGTCGAATAATGAACGAGTTGCTTTATTCCGCATCTCGATATTCAATACATCACGAATCGTTTGGACACTTCTCTGAGTCCCTCGCTACTTTAACCTTTAGTCTGCGAAACGATTCAATGGATCGCTCATGAATGTTAAAGCGTGATTTTTTTTAATACTCGCAATAAAGCAACATCGCGATTGACGTTTTACAAGCCCGTGTCTCTTCTCTTGGGTTCATTTAGTTGAATGTTTAAAATTGACGCGACAACAATCATGCGTGGAAAGACAAAGTGGAGTTGTCATTAAACACGATCACACATGGCTGTGCAAAACGAAAAGCAAATACTTATATCTGCATGTTTGCACCTTACCTACCGATGTACCCACCCATGTACCTACTCACATACCCACCCATGTATCTACCCACTTGCCTACTCACATACCCACCCATTTACCTACCCACACACTCATCTAGCTACCCACCCATTTACCTACCCACATACCCACGTACTTATCTACATATCCACATAACCACCCACCTTCCTACCCACATATCCACCCACCCACCCACATATCCACCAACCCACCCACCCACATATCCACCTACCCACCCACCCACATATCCACCTACCCACCCACCCACATATCCACCTACCCACCCACCCACATATCCACGCCATTCTCTACATACCCACTCACGAGACACAGAAACACCACCGCAGAGTTTGCTTGTTTAAACAAATGCTGCTCGATCAAATGTTATTCGTTTGTTTACCTACACGCGGAGAGACAGATTGGAGTTCTGTCCACATTTATTTTCATATATATCTAAACATGACTGGCGATGATGCCGATATATCGATGATTGTCAGTACCGAAGTAATACCCAACGATTAGCACAAATCGCAGCGTTCCTGTTGGGCCGACCAGTGATCCATAATCACCCTGGACGTGTGCAATGCCACCATCGTCACGCTGTAGTGCTCATAACGAGCCCTTGTTGTGTACAGGCACCAACAGCTGCAGTGAGTTGCGTGCTGCCCCTGGGTTATCATGCTCCAGTAGTTTGAACAACTTCAGCCTGGAGGAATGCAGTCATAGCTGGAACTGCGCTGGCGTCAGCAAGCTGGCTCGGCATACCGGCCGGGGCTGTTATCGGCTCGCATCCTGAATCCCTGCGTTGATCAGAATTGAAACTTGAAGCCAGTCATCACAAGCAGGGCCAGTAAAGTGAATAACAATCTAAATTCTTTGGTTCTTTCGGTAAAGTCACGGACGCTTGATGTTGCGCCCGAAACGTTGTGATTTATTTTATTTCATACCCACGTGACTTTACCGAAAGGACCAAAGAGTATGGATTCCTGCAGTCACGAAAGCTTCAAATCAAGATTGAATAACAATCTGTGAGCAATGGGTAGCAGTTTCCCCTATTCAGAGACGTGACCCTGTCATAGGAATGTCCGATACAAAAATGTGTAATTCTGGCTCAGGGCATGAAAGGGCTGGAGGGATGGGACACGTGTTTCACACGTGCTGTGTGTGATGATGATGATGTACAGCCCTTTTGTGAAACCACTGCTGGATGAGGAGGACCAGCCAAGGTTCTAGGGATGCAGGCATGAATAGAATATCGTCACTTGTCGATAGGGACATCGCAGACCTGTGTGCCATCACTCTGCTGCTATATATTATAGAGATAAAACGGTATCGTATTGTTGTGCATGTTGAACTTATTTCGGAGCGTACGTAGCCAACCGTGCTAATCGGGGGTTGAGGTGGAAGAACAACAAACTAAAACACATAAAAGTCGTTCTGAAGGAATGAATAGCTGTGCACTTCAAAACTTCGTAGCGGGGTCAAGCCACCAACCACCCGTGCCATTTTTAAACGTTGTCATTTTTCATAGTTCAAATGTCTACATTACCATGGCGAGGGCCAATTTGTCCATAGAAATAAACCAAACGTCCACCCCCCCTCCCTCCCCATTGCCCACTTCAAAGTGGTTGCCGACTTTATAGCCCTCGCGAAGGGATAATGAGCTGAGTCGACCCCTCCCCCCACCGACGGGGATTTGAACTTCTGTATTGTGCCGCGGACGTGCAAATGCCGAGCCATTCAAGCACCTTTGTGTATGCAGCTTAGCAAGCGCGGGGGATACTGTCGTTCAGAGCTGTAAATATGCTTGGCTTTGCACAGAGAGCCACGCAATGACGCTAAATGCCAAAATAACACCACTTTCCCGCGGTTGGTGAATTACACGCTGCGTTCCGCGTGCAGGCTTAGCGTTAAGCCGAATTAAATCTTTGCACCCCCCCCCCCCTCCTTTAATGAGCAAGCTGAATCGTCCACAAGGACGCATGTTTAATGACTTACTCCCAAAATGATCACTTTGCATTCTTGGGGTTAATGTTTCAGCGAATGTTAGCAAATAAATTAAAACCGCATCGGTCAGTGTTGGACATTGGCATTCGTTGACATTGCTTGTTTCGAGCCTCGTTACGCGGCTGCAATTGAAGGCGACGTTTCATTGGCGTTACGGTAAATGAAGTTTGTAAAGCAAATGCGAGTGTTTAAGACTCGCGTGACACAGGCAATGGTTGAACCGAATGCTGACGAAGCGGCTTGACCCCGCCATGAGAATGCGAAGAAACTTCCAGAGTTCAAAGCCACAAAACAACGTAAAAAAATGTGTCACCTGCACGCTTTCACAAGACAGGGTTTGAGACTCGTGTACACATCGAGCAGTGGAGAGGGAAAAAAAAAAATCACCCCACAACTTAAAATCGAGGCACGGACACTTCCGGGATGTTTTATAGAAAAATCGTCATTTTTATTATTTTCAACAATTTCCGACAGCTATTAACATTTTGGCACATAACCATTTACAAATTAAGGACGTTTTGTTACAAAACTATACAGGTTAACTCGGCGGCGAGAAAATAAATACACAACAGTGGGGGGTGGGGAGGAAACGCATAACGACGTGGAATAGTAACCCACTATTCTGGTTTAAGCCAAGAAAGCCGTGGGTTGGGCAAATTCTTTTGTTCTAAAAAAAAAAGTGGAAATGTTTCTGGGCCCATTTAGCTCGACAATAAGAACAAAAAAAGTCTTTAACGTCACGAACCCCAACAAACTAAAAACAAAACAAAAGCGTTGTGTGTCTACTGGCGTCTTGCTGCCGACAATGTCCACAAAATGTACATTAGTTTCATAATAAAAACCGTATCATACAAGAAAATGTTCCCAAAACCGTTTTTGTTCTTTTATAGATATACAAAAAAAATGTTACACAGTTCAATTAAACCGTGTAGGTTTGTGTTTGTTCTCGTTCACGTATACGTTTGTTACGTTGCTGCGAATGTAAAAGTCTTGACGGCGTTTGTATTCGGGTCTTCTTCGGCGACTTTAAGTGTGGCGGTGGTGAAGAAGACGACGACGAGAGAAAGCGAACGCGGCTGTTACAATCCAACCTCCCACACCTGCGGGAGAGAGGGTGGAGGAGCGATGGACATAATCATTTAGCGAACTCCGGCGAGGTGAGTGCGAGGTGAGTGCGAGCATTGTGGGGAGGGGGAAGTGGGTGGCTGTGTTAGGAGGGGGGTGGGGAGGGATGAAGGCCAGAGGGAGTGAGAGATGATGGGTGGTGGGTGGGGAGGTGAGGTTGGTTGGGTGGGTGGGTGGGGAGGAGGAGGATGGGAGGGGAGGGGCGCGCGGGGGGTGGTGGGGTGGGGGGTGCGTGGGTAAGTGTAAGTTGGCTGCAGGAAAAAGATTGAGGCAGACAGAGTGGCGCCATACAGGAATCCACTTCAGCTGGGGCAATCCGCGGGCCAAAACACACAGTTCCTATGTCCTCTCCCCCCACCACCCAGCCCGTCTCTCCCTCCCACCCCCTTCCACCTCCCTCCCTCCCCCACTCTACTACTGCTGCTGCTGCTGCTACCGCTGCAAGATGAAGCGGCGGTGATTCTTTTTTTTTGGGGGGGGGGGGGGGGGGGTCAGACTGCGTGTTGTTGGTTGGCTCGCGAGCGGTTTGAACCGCTAAAACACACACACACACTTAGACCACTCCGACTCAAAGCAGACGAGTCAGTCGGAGAAGTCTCGCCGCCGATTCCCTAATTCGCAATGAGCGTTCAACAATTACGAAATCAAAAAGGGGGGGGGGGGGGCAAAATCACCCGGCGCTCAGGTGTCCGTTGGTTGCATTTGCTCAAAAGATCAGCCTCAATTAGCGCACAACCCCGGCAATTACAACAACGCTCCCCCCGCCCCCCCACCTGCACACACAGGCGACTTGCCAGATGTCCCGATATAGTCCCGGAGACGATACAACCGGCAGCGGCGATTACGAGCCATCACGGGGTCCCGCAACGACTCGCGGCGCGCTTTCTCCCCGAGGAAGAGACAGACGCAAGCAGCCCGTGGTGCGTTGTGTGTGGATTGCATTGGATGCCCTCTTACCTATTAGTGCATAGGGGAACGCGTGGGAGACGGCGGGGCGAGGAGTCCCCATCACGGATTCCTCACGTGGCCAGGCTCTGCCGAGACCTGACAAGGGCAGACAGCACCACACGCGCGTGTCACGTGATGCACGCGCGCGCACCCCGAGTTGTGCACGCGCAAAGCTGCGCGAGGCTACGCGTCGAGCCGCATGCACCACGCAGACAGCCCGCGCACATCAGCAGCCACTTTGGTGCGCGTGTATCGGGATCTGTGTGTGTGTCAGCTCGTCTCGTGCGCAGAGTCGTCAGAATCTGCAAGGGGTGATGGCGCGCGACGGCGCAAAGTGCGCGTGCACATCATTGCGAGCGATCTTACCTGGGAGTCTAACCGGAGAACATCGGTGTTGAGTGCGGACAGCGGCAGTCTGCTGGGAGCTGGATGCTGCATCTGAGCGGGCAGTTGCTGCTGCTGCTGCAGTTGCTGCTGCTGCTGCACCTGCTGCTGCTTCTGCACCACTGCCGGGTGAGTCTCCAGGGCGAGCTGTAGGTCGAGGATGTAATCGATGACGTGCTGTAGGATTTCCATCTGGGACACTTTGCGCCCCTGCGGGATGGAGGGCACCAGCTCCTTGAGCTTGCTGTAGCAGTTCTTCATGTCGTAGAGGAGGCCCAGCGGCTCGTCGGCCCCGCTCACGAGCGCCTTGAGTCCGCGCGAGATGCCCAGGCTGTGGTCGCTGAGGCAGCGCACAGAGTCACCGCAGGGCTGGTGCCTCGGCGCGCGCACGGGGCTGATGGCCTTCATGGTGGAGTGGAGAGCGAGCGGGCGGTCTTGTCACGCGGGGCTTCTCGACGCTTGCGTGTTGGTGTTGTTGTTGATGATGATGACAAGACAAACGCGCTCTCCCTTGTTGTTGTCGTTGCTGCGGGAAGGCGCGAGTGAGCTCGGATGAAAAGAGCGTTTGTGGATTTGGAAGAAGTTGGATAACTCTACAGTTTTCTTTTCGTGCCCGTACAAAGTAAGGAGGGTTATAAGTGCGCGTTAAACTGCAGCGGGGAGGAGCAGAAGGCTGACTGAGTGGCCGCGCAAAGCCGATGCGGAGGACGCGACGCGAGTTGGGACGCGCGCGAGCAGAAATCCCGATGTGCCGTGAGCGTGCCCGCTCGGCCCTTTTATAGCGAGCGCCGCCTCTCATGCCCCCATACATCTCTCCGCCCATGTCCACACTCCGAAACCCCCCTTCCTCCCTCCCTCCCTCCCCCGTCGCCCACACCCTCCCTCCCCAATAACTCACTCCAGTCACCACTTTGCTCCACCCCGCCCCCTCCACACACACACACACACACGCCGCCACCGCCGCCACCTCCTCCTCCTCCACCTCCTCCCACCCACCTCCACTCACAACCTCCCACCGTGCCCCCATCTCCCCGCACATTGCTGCCTCGCTTCCTCGCGGCGCGTGCATCTGGATCACAACCGACCCACCACCGACCCCGGCTACCAGCCAATGGGGGCCACGGAGAGCTCTAATTACTCCGTTGGAAGAGAGGAGACACCGGCGAGAGAGAGAGAGGGAGGGAGGATAACCCGCACACCCCAAAGTGCAGCAGCGCGGACGTTGATGACACGTAGTGGGTCAACCTCGAGAGTAGTTCGGGTAGCCACCAAGCTACAATGTGGCTAGGGAGCCCCTCCCCTCTCTACCTCCCCCCCGATAAAGGCAAGCCTATCGCTGGTGTGTGCAGCACACAGCGCAGGAAAGCCACGAGACTGATAGTCGAAGCGATATGGCTGCTGCTGCGCGTCACTGATATCGCTATCAGGCGCGCACGTGAATAAATTGCCCAGGCGACTGCCTATCTCGCCGCAGTGGTTTCACGCGCTTGCCGCTTGAGCCGGTTAGCAAGGGAGGCGAAGGTTCGATTCCCGACTCGGGAGGCGATGGTGATCAGTTACAAGTCGTTTGGTTGGCGCACGACTCCTCCGTTTGGCGCTGCCCCGAGGCAATGGTGGAAATTCCACATCACTGTCGCGAGCGGCTTATCACAAGATGGTACTGATTTGTTTTGATCGACTACGGAAAATTGATGATGCTGATGAGTTCAAATGTTTCCTCGGCTGTAATTTGAACTCGCAAGGTTTTGAACGAAGCGCTCCAAAACGAGAAGTCCCTTCTCGAGTGATTCCAATAAGTCGCGGGCAATTCCGCGAAAGTGCCACTTCGCGATGCAGGAACACATTGTCCAACGTGTCGCGAGCGGTGTCTTTGGGAGGCGAGGGGGGGTGCACGTGGCCGTGGCGTAATGGGGGGGGGGGGGGCGGGACGTCTACGCCGGTGATGGAGTCGTTGATCCACATTAATACAGAGATTAGTGGAGGACCAAGCCTGCATACTGCGGTGAATGTGGGACACCAATATTGACCGTCGTGATTTTTGGCGAATAACATAAACGCTTGGCCGACGGAAACCTTCAAAGTCAATATAATTGGCTTTGGCAATTGTGTATTTTATAGTACTTTATTACTGCTGGACCAAATACGCATGACTGTATATTTTCCGAAGAAGGAAATTCCTTCGAATGTCTAGAAAATATTGTCTAGCAATCGCGATGCAATAACCCCCCGTTCCTCTTTTAAAGTGGCTATATTGTGATTTTTTTTTCTCTTCAGATGATTTTTCGTTATGAAACTGTTGAACAAAAAATAAAAAATGCAACAGCACGCAAATCTCTGCCCGCCGTTCTCGTTCTTCTCAAACAGTAGCCCCTGTCCAGAGTCGTGTTTATTAATCTCTGCCTAGTGATCGTTGCTTCTTTCGCGGTGGCGTTTTTCAAACGCGTGGACGGAATTAACCACCCCCCCCCCCTAGTGATGCTCACTTCTCTGAGACAACCCCGCCGAAAAATTAAAATCCCTCCCCAACACGGGACGATGTCACTCTACAACCAAGCAACCCGACCTTGCCATACCGTTCTCACAGTGAGATACAATCTGGCCAATCCACACACACACTACAGCACACACACACACTACAACACCACACACACAACACCACACACTACAACACACACACATACTACAACACACACACATACTACAACACACACACATACTACAACACACACACACTACAACACACACTACAACACACACACTACAACACACACACACACACTACAACACACACACACACTACAACACACACACACACTACAATACACACATACTACAACACACACTACAACACACACTACAACACACACTACAACACACACACACTACAACACACACTACACTACAACACACACACTAAAACACACACACACTACAACACACACGCGCGTTTAAATGGATTGCATCGTCTCATCAGCCCGCTTCACTCCCGCCGAAGTCCACTCAACTACAATCGAAGCCCCCAGATGCCTTCAATGATTTCTAACAATGAAGCGCATGTGGTAATGATAGCTCGTGTAAGCCACGCGTCTGTACACACACACAGAGCGAGAGACAAGCGAGGCATCTCATCTCGACCGTATACCTGCACCTCTAATAATGCCAGCTGTCGCCTGCGCCCGCACATTATCGTGATTGTATGTAATTACGTGGGAGTCGTCTGCCCGTGCCTGAGCTGCGGCGTTTAGGAGATCTCCTGAAAATAGCAAGAGGCGTCCATGGCACCGCGTTACGCGTCCATCTCTCTCTCTCTCTCTCGCTCGCTCCTTCTCTCTGACACCGGCGACGTTGACTCGAACCGCTGCACAGGAGCGAGTTCTCTCCAGAGGTGGGACAAAGTCATTGTTATGCAAGTCCAAGTCGAGTCTGAAGTCATCAAATTCATGACTCGAGTCTGACTCGAGTCCAAGTCACATGACTCGAGTCCACACCTCAAAGGTGGGACAAAGTCATTGTTATGCAACTCCAAGTCGAGTCTGAAGTCATCAAATTCATGACTCGAGTCTGACTCGAGTCCAAGTCACATGACTCGAGTCCACACCTCAGAGGTGGGACAAAGTCATTGTTATGCAAGTCCAAGTCGAGTCTGAAGTCATCAAATTCATGACTCGAGTCTGACTCGAGTCCAAGTCACATGACTCGAGTCCACACCTCAGAGGTGGGACAAAGTCATTGTTATGCAAGTCCAAGTCGAGTCTGAAGTCATCAAATTCATGACTCGAGTCTGACTCGAGTCCAAGTCACATGACTCGAGTCCACACCTCAGAGGTGGGACAAAGTCATTGTTATGCAAGTCCAAGTCGAGTCTGAAGTCATCAAATTCATGACTCGAGTCTGACTCGAGTCCAAGTCACATGACTCGAGTCCACACCTCAGAGGTGGGACAAAGTCATTGTTATGCAAGTCCAAGTCGAGTCTGAAGTCATCAAATTCATGACTCGAGTCTGACTCGAGTCCAAGTCACATGACTCGAGTCCACACCTCAGAGGTGGGACAAAGTCATTGTTATGCAAGTCCAAGTCGAGTCTGAAGTCATCAAATTCATGACTCGAGTCTGACTCGAGTCCAAGTCACATGACTCGAGTCCACACCTCAGAGGTGGGACAAAGTCATTGTTATGCAAGTCCAAGTCGAGTCTGAAGTCATCAAATTCATGACTCGAGTCTGACTCGAGTCCAAGTCACATGACTCGAGTCCACACCTCTGGTTCTCTCCCTCCCCGCTCTCACCCCATCACCCTCCCCAGGCGGGGTTTCTCTTACGAGCTCACGTGCAGCGTTCACGAGCCCTCGTCGTCACGATACCTACCGAGACCACCAGAGCGCACATCCGCGCGCGCGCGTGCGCGACTCGTGCGCGCGCGCGCGCATGCCCCGCTCGAGACCGCGAGGCGGTTCCCACGTGCCAGCTCCGCGGTGCTCGCCACGTGCTCCTGCATCGCACGCCGCGTGTCGGCTGAGCAAAGGTTCGATTTGATTATGGGGCAACCCCCCCCCCCACACACCCCGCACCGTTGCATTATAGCGCGCATCCCGAAAAGGATATAATCCGGTCGCTGCCGTGGGAATGTGGAGTTTCCACCGTTGGATCAGGGCTGCGAACGCAGACGAGCGTGTTCCCGTGCTGAGACGCTGTGGGTTTGGTCTGCACCGCCCTGAGTCGCTTACATTTCAACCGTGCGGCAGCTTCACCGTTATTGGAGGTCATCAGCATAGCCCTGGCTACGTACGGTGCGAACGAAGTTCAACATACATGCACACACCACCGGTTCCGTATCGCCTCGCTGACCGATGTCACAACTGTGACCTGGCTTCACCTTTCTTCGAGACCATCTGAGTAGTATCGACATCCTACCCTGTCGTGGCGAGTGTACACGTCGGTTTTGGCAGCTTCGGCTTCATCAGCACAGTGCCGTTACAACGCCGCCGCAGCAAGTAGCCGTGTGACAGTCGCGCCGTGATTGTAGATCATCAGCGCGGTTGCAGCCAGTGCCCCGGTGTCAACTTAAAATAATGACGCAAAATTCACGTTAGTAAGAAACGTGAGCGGATCGGCCAAATGCAACTCCATTGCACCTGCGTTTAGGCGTCCTCCCCTTTATTGCGGCTCATCAGTGCAATACAGCCCTGCTGCTGTACGTGACAATAGTGCCACCGCGTATGCCGCCTGTTAGAGGCTCGCGTCGGCCATGGATCAGCATCAGTGTGGACTTGCCATCCTGCATGACGACTTGTACCGCTCTCACTCGATAGTGGAAGCGGTGAGCGCTGCGCTGCACTACGCACCTGGCCACCCGAGTTCGATTCCCGCTCGCGGCCAACACCACCAGTGACTGACATCTGAACCGGTCCTAGGCCTCCCCTAGGTCGACTCAGCCTCAAATGAGTTTCCTGGTGCGGTGTGTAAACATCGCCACTGGGGAGACAAATGCGGTCGGGCGTGGTGCTGGCTCACCCAACCATCTCGTGTGCCGTGCCGGCCTTCGTAGGTGCTCGCTAACAGCACTTGCCCCAACAGTTTGTGAAAGGCTATACGGGGGATCTTTATCGTTGTATGCATCGGTCTCACCTTGATTAGGAATCATCAACGCCGTGCACTGCGCTGTCAAGTTCGCAGGACATTGCCGTGACGGTTCTGTATGGGTCGAGTCACTTGGCAGGCACTCCACTATCATCATCACGGACTGCCACAGTCAGCGAGCCTT